GAGAAGGCAGCTGTAGTAGTAGAAGTAGTAGTAATGGTGGTAGTAGAAATAAGAGCACTGCTGAGTCAACCCCAAGGCACCACTATTTTCTCACTGGGTAACTCTGTAACAGCAAAACATTAGTAGTAGAAGTGGTAGCAGTAGTAGTAGTAGTAGTAGTAGTAGTAGTAGTAGTAGTAGTAGTAGTAGTAGTAGTAGTAGTAGTAGTAGTAGTAGTAGTAGTAGTAGTAGTAGTAGTAGTAGCTTTTTTCTCACTGGGTTACTCTGGGCTAGAAAAAAGTAATAGCAGTACTAATAATAGTAGTAGTAGTAGTAGTAGTAGTAGTAGTACTAGTAGTATTAATAGTAGCAGTAGTAGTAGTAGTAGTAGTAGTAGTAGTAGTAGTAGTAGTAATAGTAATAGTAGCAGTACTAGTAGTACTAGTAGTAGTAGCTTTTTTCTCACTGGGTTACTCTGGGCTAGAAAAAAGTAATAGCAGTACTAATAATAGTAGTAGTAGACATAGTAGTAGTACTAGTAGTATTAATAGTAGCAGCAGCAGTAGTAGTAGTAGTAGTAGTAGTACTAGAAACAAGAGCATGCTGAAGTCAACCACAAAGCACAACTTTTTTTTCTCATTGGGTGACTCTCGGCTAGAAAAACATAGTAGTAGTGTTCATAGTAGTTGTACTAGTAGTAACTGTAGTAGTTACAATGTATATGTATGTTTGTATGTATGTATGCATAATGGCGGCAGTAGTAGTAGTAGTAGTAGTAGTAGTAGTAGTAAGTAGTAGTGGTCTTAGTAGTTGTGCTAGTAGTAAATGTAGTAGTAGTAGTGGCAATAATGGAAGTAGTAGTAGCAATAATGGTAACAGTAGTAGTTGTAGTAGTACTAGTAGCAATAATAGCAGCCGCAGCAGCAGTAGTAGTAGTAGTAGTAGTAGTAGTAGTAGTGGCAATAATGGAAGTAGTAGTAGCAATAATGGTAACAGTAGTAGTAGTAGTAGTAGTAGTAGTAGTAGTAGTAGTAGTAGTAGTAGTAGTAGTAGTAGTAGTAGTAGTAGAGGTAGAAACAAGAGCATGCTTGAGTCAATCACAAGTCACTGCATTTTTCTCACTGGGTTTGAAACAAATTTGTAGTAATTAATAGTAGTAGTAGTAGTAGTAGTAGTAGTAATAATAGTAGTGCTTAGTAGTAGTAGCAGAAGTGGTCTATTCCACTAGCTGAAATCATTCAGTTTATTCCAATGAAGGTGTATGGAATTTAAAAACACAGTGGAGCACTTCCTGTATTACCACATGACATCACAAGGTGGAGTGTTTTTTCAAGAAACTCAGCCAAAATACGCAGGATTTTGTGTGTTAAACATGTGTGAATGAAACAAAACACAACTCCAGGTTTGTTTTCGACGAGGAAAAATCATTATAACACAGATCTGACAACAGTGTAATACAGGCCCTTTAAAATGTCTCTTTGGACCTTTTCCCTTTTCTTTATCTTCAAAATAAACTCACGTAATCCTTAAAATACCACTGCGTTTTATTTCGATGGGCTTGGACAGACTCTGGATGAATTCCTGGGTGTCACGTTAGACCGGCCTTCCTCGCATCGTCTTCAGCCTGCCGCCCCTGTCCTGTCTGACCCTGTCCGGTCCACTTAGGCCTGGAGCGGGACACAGCACCTCGTGTGGACAGGAGGTCACACGCGTTAGCACACCTCGAATGTGATGCACAGACACCGTTTGGTCCGCAACGCTCTCCCTCCTCTCGCTCGCCTTTAACCTGTCTGTCTGTATTTCCTCGATGATGCTTGTCCCCTCTCTATTTCTTTTCTATTTATCTCTCTCTCCTTTAACTTGTCTCTCTGTGTTTCTCTTTGTTTCTCCTCTTTTTCTCTCTCTTGGTCCTTTAACTTGTCTGTCTACTGTATATTTTCTATATACTCCTCCCCTCTCTATTTCTCCCTCTTCTTCTCCTTTAACTTGTCTCTCTGTATTTCCTCTATGCAGTGTTGGGGAGTAACAGATTACATGTACCGGAGTTACGTAATCAGAGTACAAATTATGAGTAACTGTATTCAGTTACAGTTACTGTTTCAGTGAGTGGTAACTGGATTACAGTTACTTTGTTGAAATAAATGGATTACACGGCGGTATTTTCCTTTTTTTTTTTCGGTAATTCCACTCATTGCCGGAAAATAAACCAAGTCTAAACTAGATCTAAACCAGGTCTAAACCAGGACTAAACCAGGACTACACCAGGACTAAACCAGGACTAAACCAGGACTACACCAGGACTAAACCAGTACACCAGGACTAACCAGGACTAAACCAGTACTAAACCAGGGACCAGGACTAAACCAGGACTAAACCAGGTCTAAACCAGGTCAAAACCAGGACTACACCAGGTCTAAACCAGGACTAAACCAGTACTAAACCAGGACTACACCAGGACTAAACCAGGACTAAACCAGGTCAAAACCAGGACTACACCAGGTCTAAACCAGGACTAAACCAGGACTAAACCAGGTCTACACCAGGTCTACACCAGGACTAAACCAGGACTACACCAGGACTAAACCAGTACTAAACCAGGACTACACCAGGACTAAACCAGGACTACATCAGGACTAAACCAGGTCTAAACCAGGTCAAAACCAGGACTACACCAGGACTAAACCAGGTCTAAACCAGGTCAAAACCAGGACTACATCAGGTCTAAACCAGGACTACATCAGGTCTAAACCAGGACTAAACCAGGTCTAAACCAGGTCTAAACCAGGACTAAACCAGGACTAAAGCAGTACTAAACCAGGACTAAACCAGTACTAAACCAGGACTAAACCAGGACTAAACCAGGACTAAACCAGGACTAAACCAGGACTACACCAGGACTACACCAGGAATAAAACAGGACTACATCAGGTCTAAACCAGGTCTACACCAGGACTACCAACTAAACAGGACTACACCAGGACTAAACCAGGACTAAACCACCAGGACTCCACCAGGACTACTCTTGGACTTGAGCGAGAGCGAGCTAGAGAGCGCGATCGGGCGACAGCTGCACCGAGCCCCACGCGGCCTCGCGCGGAGCCGAACCCCGAGCAGCACGGAGCACCGACCTGGCCCGGTCCTTTCGTCTGCGGTCACCCGACAGTCTACGCGGGCGCACCTTCTCCCCAGTCCCCACAAACAGCCCTGGTTTAGTCCGGGTTTAGTCCTGGTTTAGCACACACCTTTCTCCTCACTTCTTCTCCGTGCACGGAATCTCCACGGCTCTTTATAATAAGATGCTTTTATAACCATAAAATAGTTTCTGAGGAGTGGATTGTTTCAGACGGAGCAGTACTGAAGGTCTAGGCTCCACCACTGCTCTCTCTCCTTTAACTTTTAACTCTTCCTTTCCTTTAACTTGTCTGTCTGTATTTCCTCTATGCTCGTGTCCCCTCTCTATTTTCCTCTCTCTTCTCTACTCTCTTTCTCTCTCTTCCTCTCCTTTAACTTGTCTGTCTACATTTTCTCTGTGCTAGTCACACACTCACGGAGAGGCGTCTTTTCAGCACTATGGCCCTCGTCTATGGAACTGCAGCCGGAGGAGCTCAGGGCTGCAGAGAACGTTCATGTTTTTAAGAGCAGGCTCAAGACCCACCTTTTTAGCTTAGCTTTTGATTGAAATCTTATACTTTTACTTGTTTTTATTGTACACATTTTATTATATTTATTTATTTTAGGCATATTTTTTAGGATTTCCAGTGTTTCCTCTGTAGGAGCCTCTGCATCAGGAGCAGAGGTCAGCTGTGGCTGCTGGGTCTGTCATGTGGGCTCCTGGTGGAGGGATGGTGCTTGGGCCTCAGGTGCCTGGGCTTCATCTCTCCCCTGGCTCCTGTGGTGGTTCCTGGTGGTGGTGGACGTCTCTCTGCTCCCGGTGCAGACGGCTCCTCTGATGGTGCTTTCTCAACTGGTTCGCCTATATTCAGCCTCACATTTTATTGTGTCCGGTTATGTATTTTAGCGTGTGAGTGTGAGTGTGTGTGTGTGTGTGTGCATGTTTGTGTGTATGTGAGTGTGTATGTGAGTGTGTGTGTTTGGGTTGTTTGACTATGTGGGGTTGGGGGTGCGGGGGTTGGGTTGGGTGTGGTTGGGTGGTTTTAAAATGTTTTTAATCACTGTAAAGCACTTTGTGTTGCATTTTGTATGAAAAGTGCTTTACAAATAAAGTTTCATTTGATTTTGAAGTTTGATTTAGTCCCCCCCTCTCTCTCATTTAACTTCTGTCTGTATTTCCTGTTTGTCTCCCTTCTCTCTTCTCTTCTCTCCTCTCTTCCTCTCCTTTAACTTCTCTCTCAACTTCTCAGTGCTAGTCCTCTCTCTCTCCTTAACTTTTGTCTATATTTCCTCTACATTTTTCTCCCTTCTCTCTCCTGTCTCTCTCTCTCTTTCTCCTTTTGTATGTCTGTCTATATTTCATCTCTATATCCTCTCTCTCTCTCTCCTCTCATGTCTATGTTTGCTCCCCTTCTCTCTCTTCTCTCTCTGTCTTTCGATGTCCATTTTTTCCACATTCTTTATCCTCTTTTTCTTAATCTTCTGTGTGTCTTTCTTTGTATATCTTCCTCTCTCTCTTTTTCTCTCTCCCTCCTTTAACTTATCTGTCTATATTTTCTCTATGCGAGTCCCCTCTTTATTATTTGTTTACCCCTTCCCTCTTTCCTCTCTCTCCATCTTTCTATGACAATTTTTTCACTTATTTTATCCCTTTTTTTCCTTCTGCCAGCCGACTTCTCACCTTACCTCTTCTCCTCACACTTGTCCTCTCTCTTTTTCTTCACTCTCTCGATTTCTCTTTCTGTGTACATCTTCCTTTCTCTCTCCTTTGAATCCTTCTCTCACCTTTTCTCAGTTTTTTTCCGTCTCCTTTCTCTCTCTCTCTTCGTCGCTCTTGCCTTTTGGACAGTTGGTCTCGGAAGTACTTGAAAAGACACAGTAAAACATACCAAAAAATAAAAAACACTCACTTCCAAAATCTCGTACGGTGAAGTTCTTGTTCTTTCCGTCTTCTTTCACGGCTTTGAAGGAGAACTGCTGTCCTGCTGAAGGGAGATCCTGGTCTTTAGCACTGAACATTTGGATCACCTGGAGGAAAAAAATGAAGTCAATTTGTTAATTATTTGACCAGAATATATTACTTTCTTTCCTCTTTTTTCTCAACTGTGAAAAATTGTATATGTGGATATAAATATTCTTGCTTCACAACTGGCCCTGGGTCAAATTCCAAAAGTTTTGAGTCGTTCCTGGAGTTATCTTTGGATGTTGGGTGCTGTGGTCATGACGTGTTTTCCTTCTCTTCCTCCTCTTTCTCTCTTCCTCCTCTCATCATATTTATTTCCCTTTATTTATCACATGCTATGACTATTTCGGCTGCAGTACAAGGACATCTATAACAAACCCTATTTTTCGGACCGTAAGTCACACTTTTTTTTTCATGGTTTGGGTGTTTCCTGCGTCTTAGTGTGACTTATATATAAACATTTTCACACTGACAGCCTCGAGAGGGCGCTCTACGCTTGTGTGTCAGTATCTGCTACGATTATAGATGCATCAAGAATCTCGGACTTCCGGTCATCGCGCAATGCATACTGGGAAGGATTTTCCGAAAAAGTGAGCATCAAACTGCCATGTTTGTTTTTCCAGTGGGTCTATTGACAAAGCTGATCTTTTCAAGTCTTTTGAACCATATCGGTTTAGTTTCTGGTTCTGATATTGTCATATTTTAATTTTGGGATTCGGACATCGTAATTGTATGGTTGTTGGATGTCCTAAAACCAGAAATTTGTTTGTGAACTCCATAAATGCAAAAGGGAATCAGATCTGTGTGACTGCAAACCTCTGTTTTCCTTCCCAACGGAAATAAAAAATAGTGAAAGGCGAAGGCGATGGGCAGTATGGAGAACACAGCTTCACAGCAATTGGAGGATGCGCCATAAAACTTTCCTGGAGGTCACTGAATGGATGGACAAAGCCTGGTCTTCAGTGACACCGAAACCATCCTGTCGGGATTCAGAAAGGCCGGAATAATTCTAACTGGAACTGATGCTGAGTCTGACGACAGCTATGAAGGACAGGCTGAAGAATTGAATGGATTTAGTGATTTGGAGTGAGATGGAGAGTTTGATAAACTTGTTCTGTTCTGTTGTTTATGCTATAGTGATGCTATTCAGCCTGTTGTCTCTCGGTACAATATTATCACGATATGCATCTCACGGTACAATATTTACTGCGATATTTTGGAGGGGCTGATATAATTGTAGATAGGAAACTTTTTTTTCTTTTAAAATACCTTGACAAGATTTTGATGTGAATTATTTCCGTAATAATCCCAAGAATTCAAGTAAAAAAAAACATTTCTTCATGTTGCCTGCACTGAAATGCATCATGGGATATGTAGTTTACTATGCTTATAAACTGTTGCTTCCATAAAACAACACATTTAAGCAAAATAACTTGTGATTTGATATATTGTGACAGTCCACGATGTTATTGAGACTTTGGACGATACGATATCATGATATTTCGATTATTGTTACAGTGGTGGGGCGATGCTTTTAATGCCATAGCGTGTGTAAACGAAACAAAGCATAAACATTTCCACAGAAACAAGAAGTTGCACTAACACAATAAAGTTACATAGTTCACCTTTAAACTTGTATAACTACTGGCATTAAAGCCTTGTTACTCGAATGTATAATTACCAATCAGACATGTCAGTAGTAAATGCTCGACGTCGTTACAGAAGTCTGATTTGAAACTCTGAGTGCACCTCGGCTGTGTTCTTCCAGCGCCGTAACTGCCCATTACTCTGTACAGTGCGCCTGGGCTTCACTCTTGAGCACTCAGCCCCGTGAACGCTGATAGGATAAGTGCTTTAGACTTAAATGTAATTAAAGCCAGACTCAACTTATCCCGAGCCTGCAAAGTGGCATTATAAAAAAAAGGCGTTAGAAGAACTCATCTGGTTATACGGGGCCAGTGCTTTTCAATGCATTTTTCTTTATGGAGTTTTTAATTTCACAGATGGATAAACCTGGACCCTCTTATAGTAAATATGAAAATAAATAAATAAAAGTGAAAAGCTGCTCCTATATTACTTTGCTTACGTTTTAGCTGCATGGATACAGCGACGCATCGGCAGTATGTTATAGACCAAAAAAGTTTCGCTGTGGCTTTAAGTCAAGAGAGTCAAACTCAAAGGCTACGTTCAGACTGCAGGGCTCAACGCTCAATTCGAATTTTTTTTGTGAAATCCGATGTTTTTGCGAGGTCGTTCACATTTCCAATTAAATGTGACTTGTATGTGACTCCAGTGTGAACATTAAACGGCCCAAAAATGTCCCGCGTGTGCACTGGAGAAGACTACAGAAGTTGTCCAAACATGGACGCGAGCATTGAGCACCTGGAGATTTTAAAGTTCCTCTCGTACCGGAGCCAGAACATGAACAACTTATTTGTTTTAAGGAGGAGATTGAGAAGGAGAAGGATGAGGTTTTTGGCCGTGGTGTTTTGTGGGACATTCCGTTTAAAGGAACATGTGGATGTGGAGACGTAGCCAAGAGTGGTGAGACGGCGATCTGCTTCACTTCAGTGACACAGAGTTCATTAACAATTTTCGTACGACAAGAAGAACATTTGTGTACATTTGTGGGTTGTTCATAACATGTAGGTCGGATGAATGCACCTTGGCCATTCAGACTGAAGTTGCATGTCAAAAGATCAGATATGTATCAGTTTCAGGAGCACATATCCAAGTGTCCTGGGTCGCGTTTGAAAAAATCAGATCTGTGTCGATCAGACTGTCATTAAAAGATCAGATACAGGTCACATAGGGGCCAAAAAATCAGATTTGGGTCACTTCAGGCTGCAGTCTGAACGTAGGAAAATTCACAAAGGGCCAAAATTACAAACTGAGACTAAGTCGTGGGCCAAACTACTGTTTTCTCTTCTTTTGTGATACATAATGTTAAACCTTTTCTTATTCAAATAAATGTTTAATAATAGTTTTGCTTAAACATTGAATCCAGAACAAGCAAAATATTAAATAATAACACAATTTTAAATAAATAATGTCTCTATAGTCTATCTATAGCCTGTGGGCAGCTCTAAAACATATTTGATATGATCTCGCAGGCCAAATATAATTATATCAAATATTCTATCAAATATTTATACCAAATTAGGACCCCGGGCCTGAGTTTGACATGTCTGCTTTAAGTGATCGAAAAAACACACAGTTTTGGTTCTGTAGATGAAATGATTTGATCTGTTTTTCATCTATTTTGCCTTTTGAGAGATGTGAGGTCATAAACACAGGGCTAAGAACAGGTTGCAAAGCCATATTCTGAAAAAAGTACAATATTGAAATCAGTTTTAACCTGTTTAACCCTTCAACTGGGAATATGTTTTATATAACTGAGCATAAATTTCTAAACATAAAAGATAGAAACTTACATTTCTTCCCTTGAAAAGCTGAGAGTTGAGGCTTTCTGAGCATATTTTCGGCATTATCCTACGTCTCACACACATCGGGAAAACGAGTGTCCAAGAGGATCTTTCTTTTCCACCAAACTCATGCACTCTGTCCATTTTGATTGGCGTAAACTTTGTCAAAGAGTGTAGTGAGTCAAGATGGTCGTCTGCTCTGAGCATCTGTGTTTGTAACAATTGAAAAATTGTGCTCTAAGTGCAGCTTTTTCTCAAATAAATGGAAAATTACGCATCTTTGTCAGCTTAATTGCACATCCCTTGCTATTTTTATTTGAAATGTACAAATCCAAATGTAATAAACATCATGGAAATGCAGGAAGTGATGTGGCTCTTTTTTAGATTATTAGTTTACTTACAGACTTGATATTTTGCACTTTTGTAGATAAGTCTCTAAATTAAGCTTTTTTTTTTTTTTTTTTTTTTTTTTTTTAGTTTTTTATGTCCAAAAAGTTGTTTATACAAGTTTGTTATGTTTTAAATTTGTATTTCTGGTCCTATAGCTTTTATTACAGCCATATGACACAACTACAGCATGCAGATTGTGAAATAACAGGTTGCACTGAAAAAAAGGATGTATAACACTTCATTAGGGGGTAAAAGGGGGAGTTTTAACAGCAAAATTAAGAAAAAAAAAAAAAAATCCAGGCGAGGACAAATGTATTAAAATTGCCCTTTGGTCTGGAAGGGTTAAATCCAGGCTCAAAACATATATCTATTCAAGCCTTCTAAAAATCTGAAAAAGTGCCATTACAACCCCTGTACATAGCTTAGGTACATAAATAAAAAGGATAATGAAGGGAAAATAAAATAAAATAAACAAAAACAACTTCGACCTAAACTTCTAAAGCGTTGGTTCTTCTGTGCTCTTAAGGAAACATCTTGTTAAATTCTAACAGTTTGCACTCGTCTCTCGTCACTTCGTCAATTCCCTTTGACTTTACACAGCCTCTGGTGTTGATTGGGCGTGTGTCATTGTGTCATTGTGTCACATGTGTCTAAATATAAAGTTCTTTCTCTGATTAAACTGCGTCTCTTGAGTTGGCGTGGGTGCCGTACCTGGCCTTGTTTGGCGTTCTCGCACACAAACGTCTCGAAGGGGCTGGCGAGCTCCGGGGGAAACTCGTTGATGTCGAGGACGTGGACGGTCACGGCCACTCTGCTGGTCAGCACCGGGCTGTCTGCAAGAGACACACACACAGAGAGAGAGGCTTTACTCTGCTGACATCTGCTGGACAGAGACGGGATTACAGGCTTATATTAAAACGGCAACAGCAAATGAGTCGAAACACAAAGCACAAACCTGGATTCCTGAGCTTTGAGCCAAGTTATGATGTTATTACCTCCTCAAAAACAGATCTGGAGTTGTGTTTTGTTTCATACATACATTATTGTTATTTTATTATTAGCCAGTCTATGTCCTTTTGTTATCATATTAGTTGTAGTTTTTTTTTTTAGTTCAGTAGAGACGAGAAATCCAGGGCTGGAAGTGTCCAGCTGATTCTAATGAAGGTGTATGGAGTTTAAAAACACAGTGGAGCACTTTCTGCGTTACGGCATGACGTCAAATGGTGAAATAGGGTGTTTCTGTTTGAGAGAACAGCCTAAATATTCAGGATTTCTGTGTTAAACATGCGTGAATAAATAAAATAAAACACAACTCCAGGTCCGTTTTTGATGAAAAAACAGCATAAGTAAATAAATATATAGGACCTTTAAAGTCCTGCGTTTATGCATTGATTTTATTATTTTTGTTCACAGATTTTATTATTATGATATTATTATTTAATGAATTCTATCAGTTTCCTCATGGTTAGAACATAATAGAACATGATTGTGTAGATTTTATTTTATTTTTTTAGTACAGCTTTTATGCATTGATTTTGTTCATTATTATTATTATTATTATTATTATTATTATTATTATTATTATTATTATTATTATTAATTGATTCTATCAGTTTCCTCATGGCTAGAGCATAATTCTGCAGATTTTTATTTTTATTTATTTTTTTGTTAAATGTTTTCATTGCTATGTTAAGCACTTTGGAAACAGTCTTATTTATTTTTTTTAAAAAAAGAAAAAAGTTGGATTAAAAAATGAAATTCAGGAACACATTAATATGGTCTTCTTGAATGATACATAAATAAGATGATGTTTAATCACTGCCCACTTAATTTTGTGAAGAAAAAAAGTAAGTTTGAAAGGACAAACTTGTTGAGGTAATGCCGGGCGTACACTGTGCGATATTTTCGGTCGTGTCACTCAGCCCCAGCTTAAACTGTACGACCAAATCACAGGGTTTAACAGTTCACAGCTCACGAATCATGTTCTCACACTGAACGAACCGATGCTCGGATGCGACTTGCCTGCTCACACTGTACGTTCACATAACGACCGAAGTTGTTGTTCCGGAAGTAGAAAACCACGAAGAAGAAAACCACGGAATTAGAAAACCACAGATGTGCGGAGACACAATGCTGAGCCACTTCTGTGTCCGCGCATGCGCAGTCTGCCAGATTCTGGCAAATCGGCTCGTGGAACAACTTCAACAGAGCGAAATCCTCACGAGAGGCGACTGGATTTCAAACAAGTTTGATTTTCTTGCGACCTACGAATGTCGATCGGGAGCTGGTCGTGAGTCATTAATCGGTTCTCTTTACCCCATGTAAACTACACGAAGCACGACACACGATGAAGCCAAAACTCGGCCCGATCCCCAAAACAGTCGCACGAGCGAAAAATCGTCTCAAAAAGGGTTAAAAATCGCACAGTGTACGCCCGGCCTAAGACGTCTGATTTGCAGCTCTTGTGGGTTGTTCCCAATTTGTCTTAGATCTGGTTTTATACTTGTTTAGTTCTGGGTTAGACCTTTTATAATCCTGGTTTACAGCTGTTCTTGTCTGTTAATGGACAGTACCAATTAGGGGTGTAACAATAATATCGTGGATCATCACAATATATCGAATTACAAGTCTCTCTGCTTAAATTAAGAGTTATGGTGCAGCAATAAATAAAGAAACAAAGGGAACTACATAGACCATGATCCTTTGCTCCATTTCAGTGCAGACTACATGAAGAAATAACAGTTTCAAGCACTTTTAAATCTTAGTTCTTTGGATTAAATCTTGTCAAGGCAATTTAACAGAAAAAAGTAGCATATTAACTTTTTTATTTTTAGCCTTCAGAAGATATTGCATGAAATCGTGAAAATAGAGATTTGGATATTGTTACATCCTTAATCGGGAACCTCACCACAATATCGCAATAAATAGTGTACAGTGAGGTTTGACATTATCGTATCGTGAGACTAAATATATCGTTACAACCCTAGTACCAATATATAAGCAGCTTTAAAGCCAATTTGATATTTTTAAGTATGACCAACATTCAGAGCTGTACTGTCAACACTGTTTTCTGCATACTTTGGTAACTTTACTACACATTATTATAGTCTCATATTCAAATCTTTATCATGTTTCACTTTACGTCCGTCTTTTCGTCCTTGGGCTTAAACGTTAAACAGTGTGTCTTATCCCACATAAGCCGGTGTTTGAATGCCTCGCGGGGCGCTCTGTCTGCTGCATGTGTCTGCATTAATCACACGCGGATCGTCCTATAACGCCACTCAAACACCGTGAACAAGCGGGTTTCATGTGACGTCTTTACATTTAAAGAGACGAGAGTTTAACAGTGAAATGAAAAGCAGGTGGGAGTTGTGTTATAGAGGCTTTGCACCGTCACGTGACCCCTATAGCAACGGTACCTACGCCGCCATGACACTGGGGAACGCTATGTCATTGACGTCAGCAGCATCGGAGAAACATGGGCAGGTTTTGTTGTGTATTTGGTTGTTCTAGATGCTCTGAAGGGGGTAAAACTGATCATTTCTTCACTATTCCTCTGGAAATTACTCATCAGGAGCTCAAACAAGGGAATTATTGAAAAAAAGACACGGATTATGGCTAGCAAAAATAAACCGCGAAGAGATTTCCTATGGTACCATCAAGAGACCTGAAGTTTCATCAAGGTATCTGCTATTTAAATAGTTTCATAGCTTATTTAATGAAAGAAGCACATTTACTGAACTAAAATTACATTAATTTATCCAGGAAAACCCGCACTAGTTTACGATTCAACGAACCCACACTGGGCTCCTGTGATCAACATGGAGCACGAGTCGAAGAGTCTGTGAGCCGAACCTCGAAAGAATCGGCCATGAAAAGATCCTCGCGAACGTTAGAAAGATCCGCTCGCAAAAAGCGATTAATTCTAGAAGACATAGTTGTGGATAAGCAAGGAAATAAAGAAAACATGGATCCTACGACGAGTGACATGTTTATATGTGCGTTGGAAGATACAGTTTCTACTGCCGCTCACACTGCAAATGTTTTCTTTTAAAATTTGAGTTCAGTAAATGTGCTTCTCTCATTAAATAAGCTATGAAACAATTTAAGTAGCAATTACCTTGATGAAAGTGACATGAGTGTGTCTTGATGGTACCATAGGAAATCTCTTCGCAGTTTATGTTCTCGAGTCATAATTCCCGTTTTTTTTTTTTCCCCGATAATTCCCTTGTTTGATCCTGATGAGTAATTTCCAGAGGAACAGTGAAGAAACGATTCGTTTTATCCAGTTCAGAGAATCTAGAACAGGGGTCTCCAACCTGTAGCTCGGGAGCAACCAGTAGCTCTCCACCATCCTCCAAGTAGCTCGCCAAGAGATTTATGAATTGTACTTATTGTGCTGAATAACTCAAATTGATGAAGTAAATGTCTATTATCATTGTAAATGTATCATTTTGATGTCTAACTTTGTGCACTAATAACTGATTAAAGGTTTAAGTTTTACAGGCATCCGTCTGTACCTCATCTAAAGCTCATTGTGCCTCTTGAATACACTCAATTTCTTACGATGCTAACATTAGTAACTCTCTGGCATTCTAATTTTGTAAAGGTAGCTCACAAGAGGAAAAGGTTGAAGACCCTGATCTAGAACCAAATACACAACAAAACCTGCCCATGTTTCTCCGATGCTGCTGAAGTCAATGACATAGTGTGTCCGGTGTCATGGCGGCGTAGGTACCGTTGCTATAGGGTCACGAGACGGTGCAAAGCCTCTATTGTGAAAATTTAACAAGTAAAACTGTTTGGATGCGATTTTTATGGTTGATATTTGTGTCCTAATACAATAAACAGGCTGATACTTTGGCTCTATATTATGTTTTGCAATAATGCTCCTACACTTTTTTTTAGAACTTTCACCATTCAAAGATATAATATTCTGTTAAATGCAATCTTCATTTTTCACCATTGTAAAGACTGTTGATGAGTCATTACCTTAATATTGTGAATTTTTGTAGCCTTTTTTGTTCTTGTAAAACTTCAACACAACTCATTCTTAAAAACTATGGCGTCTGAAAAACCCGAGGCCCCTGAACGCTCCACATATGTTACATTCATGTGATATAATGCATTTCTATGGAGAGGAGCGTCTGTGCAGCTGCCAGATCCTCTTCATGTTGTGGACACGTCTCAGAGTGTGCAGCTCATATTAATGATCACATGAGAGCTCCCTGGAGGAGAGGAGGAGAGGAGGAGGAAGGGGAAGAAGAGGAGAAAGACTGAAACAGAGGAGGGGGTGGAAAAAAAGGAGGAAGAGAATCAAAAAGGGAAGAAGAGGAGAAAGAAGAAGAGGAGGAAAAGGAGGAGGCAGAAGAAGAGGAAGATGACAGAACCAGAGGAGGAGGGGGTAGAAGAAGAAGAGGAGGAAGAAGAGAAGAGGAGAGAAGTAGGAGGAGGAAGAGGAAGGGTTCTAGCTGCACTGGCTCCACTATATCTGGACACGTTGGACTGTAAAATAATATAACATCTGAAAAAAACAAAAAACTGATTAAAGGTGCAGTGTGGAACCTTTCAGAGGTAGGGTTTGCCATTTGATTGTTTCCATAGAGTTAAATAATTTTTATGTTTTATTTGTTTGCAACTACTTGTCCAAGCAAAAGAAAAAAACAAAAAAACAAAAAAACAATTAAACTATTGTTTAATTTGATAAAAAGAGAAAAGATGAAACAGTGTCACGCTTTTACCAATGGCAGAAATTATGATGAATTCTTAACAAGGATAAATGTGAAGATAAATTAAATATCAACTGAAACAGAAAACCCAAGTCAACCCAAAA